TGAGATGTCCTAAACATGGGCATGTGTACATAAGGTATTCAGTTCGAAATACACAATGACAGATACCTGAATAAGGTCAGTGACCACAAGGCCGTAATGTCGCTAATATAGCAACAGCAATGAGGAATATTGTTTTGAAATCTGTAGAATGGTCGATACATTGTGTTAATAAGTAAAGTGATTATATTAATCCGATTTTGTGATGAGAAAAATCTTGAACAAAAAAACATAAAATACATCTTCTATGAAGTGTTCCAAGACACCGGAATCAAGATAAACCTTTTCCAAAACCGAAACTAGTGTGCCCAGTGAAAAAAAGCGGCGAATTTATTATCATCTTTCGGGAATAATTGACCTTGAATAACCTTGAAGAAATACTCATTCGACTTTTTCGTAATTACATAGCTCTGATTGAGTCTTTTATAATTAATTGCTGTTCGATCTTGTGACTCATCATTTGAAGGTTATTTGCAGACAATTTCCTTCTGCCCTTTTTGTATTGCTAAAGAATTCATTGATTTTGAGCATCAAGTTATTGTACTTTTCAAAGAGGAACATCCGACGTGGGGATTGACGAAGTATGCAGAAATTCTTCCTGAATTTTCCGTCACATCAGTCGCCACCAATTTTCAGCGGTTGTCACATGTCCTTCTGAATTGACCACTTTTTTACTTGGATTATCGTTTATAATCTGGAATTAAAATGAAAGCACTAAATCCACCATAAAAAAAAAAAAAAAAAAAACTTCAGGATGTAGAATTAATAAATACTAAACACTTCAAATGTATTTCTTACCTATGAGTCATTTGTAATAAATTCAATATAGGCGATAAATAAATGGAAATAAGAAAAGGTTGTAAAACCGGTAATATCGTAAAAAGATACTAAACAAACTCAATAAACTGAAAACTCGTTTCGTAGTCTTGTCAGTTTGAGACCTACGCTTGGATGACATACAGGGCTACAAAGTCGTTCAAAAATGACTAATCTGTCAGCTGTACACCATCACATTCTCAGATCAATTATTAAAATAGCTTCTAGCGAGTGAAACCTGTGGATCTTGGCGAGGAACATACTTTATCGAACTCCAGGCTTACGGGCCTTACCCAATCATAGAAGAAAAAAATGTAACATATAACAGAAGCCACATCATTTCAGGGCGTTTTATTAGCAGTTCAGGCGCTAATGCCAGTAAAACGCGAGGGATTACAGTTAATAAAAGAGAATATAAATATTTTAAAAGGAACCAGAAACCCGATTCTAAGCAAAGAGCAATTCCAAAACCTCTACTCCTGTTCAAAAGACAGGTTAGAAGTATGACTCCGACGACAGAAGAACCTATATACTCCAAATGAGTAGAGAGGGGAAAACTATATAAAATAGTAAATAAAATTTCTTATTTCACGAAGAAACATTAGAAGTATAGTGTTGAATAAGACCTTATAAGGAAAAGGAATCCCAATACTAAGCTGGAAATGGGGGAAAAAAAACTCTACTCTTGTTCTTAAGGGTCGGGGAGGTGTGATAACCAGACGATAAGCGAACATATCTACACATATAAATGTTTTTATTATTGACATGTATTCAATATAAATATGTACGTAATGACATAAGACAGGAAGAAATACCTTTATAAAAATTGGGTTAAGCTTATAATCAAAGGAAGCATCATGTTTTCTTTTTACTTTTACCTGAATTCTAAATACATATCGTAATATTTCTCATTTATCAGTTATATGATTATCACATGTACCACGAAAAGAAAATAATGGCATAATCAAGATGCTGCTATTCCACACTACTTAAAACAAAAGTTTGGGAAGGAAACTCCCGTCAATACTGGAAAGAGCGATAACAATTACTGAAACTAAGAAGGCTATTTTTCCTGAAAAAAATTTGTTTGACTACAAAGATTTTATGAATTCCAACCGATAGTATTACTGACTTTTTGGCCAATGAATGCTAAATATTTCCATACGAGAGAACATTTAATATTCCCATTAAATAACGGTACCCCTCCTCCTCCTCGAAATTTTCAAATTGTTTTTTTTCTTTTGGCAATTTTCTTAAAGGAAGATCTACTGTATTTTGTATTAAAAGTTCAAAGTTTTTTTTTTAAGATTTCTCGGATACCATTTTGAGATTTTCAGTGTTTGATTCTGTAAATTTGCTGTGTTCTAATCTTGCAGTTATACCAGACACACAAGGGAAAATTTTGAACTCAAAATCCGCCCACGCAAAAGACAATAATAATGTGATAATAACTATAAAGATGAAGATAACAGTTCGATGACAAATAATATGAATCCAATGAAATTCTTTAAGGCAATGACACGCCATGCCACTTACATAGTATCAAACCAGCCACATTACCTCAGTATACCATCGGTGAGAAGTAAGTTCCACACGAACAGCTTCTTCGCGGGAAGCACTGTTATCAAGAGAATGTTTCCCGATCACTTAACCTGTTCAAAGCTAGGGTTAATCGTTATCTTTAACTCATATTCGCATAAATTGCCTCCTAAAGTAACCGTCTCCCTCGAGTGGCTCTCGGGCCTTGCAACTAGTGAATCTTACTATAAAAAAATTGTTAACACCGCATTTAAAAAAATTCAGAAAGATTAAAAGATAAAATCTTAAATCAAGAAAATGGACATAAGGTCCTCTCTCATAATCTTTGAAAAAGCGCCTTCGATTCAATTGGTTTTAATGACCTTGACATCGCTAAAGTATATTCTGTGAGGAAAATATGAAATAGAACATTTCTCAAGAACTGCTTATAGAACCTATGCTGAGAAATGGTGACGAGTACAAGAAGTGGGAAGATGCTGTGTAACAAGATTTTGGTAATTCGCATCACGTTTCAGTACAGGAGTTGAATACCATATTAACAAACCTATTTCAATCGTAATCGATTTAATACCAATTATGTAAAACCGAATCTCTCGACAAAAGCAAAACAGTAAAAATAGGTTGACCTAACAATAATTTCATTATGTTTTCTCCAGAATTCGTTCTTCCGGGAATGACAATCTTTCTGTTATATGATACAATACAGTTCTTGATATTCGGGCTTCCCGATGATAAGTGATGTGTGCGATAAAGGAACGTGTTGCAATAGAAGAGTCGGTTGCTAGTTCAATAGTGAAACCGTGAGACAAGGAAAAATAGATAAATGACTTGGTTTATTAGTGAAAATTGAAAGAACATGACAGAATAGTACGGACAGGTAAGAGTTAGTTCCCTTGTCCTGTTCGCGAATTAAAAACATGCATATGGACATACAAGTCCTTCTGAAAGAGAGGAAGATAGCCAGGGATAGAGATATCAATAAGATATTCAGATTATGTTAAGAAAGAGCTAGGCCGTCCGATGAAGTTTGCTTTAAGAGAAACAATTCCATGCTGTAGCATATATATATATATATATATATATATATATATATATATATATATATATATATGTATATATATATATATATGTGTGTGTGTGTGTGTGTGTGTGTGTGTGTGTGTGTGCATGCGCGCGTGTGTTTTAAGCATTTCACCCCAAGCAAGGCTAGAAGTTACTAGCCCGTAGGGGGTTACATAAAATTTGGAGCGAGAGCAGATAGGAGTGATAGAGGAAAGGATGAAGAGAAGGATAGTGCATAGATCAAGACAACTGGAGATGTCTATTGACATTACATTTGAATAGTTGGAGATTATAGCTGTCAGGGATATAGGAATAGGGAAGGGAGTTCCACGGTCGAGAGGTGCGAGATATAAAGCTATTGGAGTAGAAGAGACGGCTACATTTAACAGTTTACAATGTGCGTGTGTGTGTGTGTGTGTGTGTATTTAGGCAGCAATCCTTCTTTCAAGCACATTTCGTTGAATACGACAAATATGGCGCCTTTCTTTTGTTTTTTATACAATTTCTCATGCGCTCTAATATTTGTTTTTTCTTTTCGGATGATAAATTATATAAAAACTGTCAATATATATATATATATATATATATATATATATATATATAGATATATATATATGCACACACAAGACACACACATTATACATACATATATATATATATATATATATATATATATATATATATATATATGAAAGAAAATTTGAAAAAAAAACAAACAAAAATCCTTAAATGCAATTATGTTGTTTAAAATGAATGAAATGTCGACGTCTGACGTTTCGGTTTAATAAACCTTTTTCAAGACAATATTCATTAAAATACAATTCAGTTCAATTTGACAAAGACGATGGACATAAACAACAAGTCTTATCCAAAACAGCTAACTAAAAAAAAATAAAAAAAAAATTCAGTTATCTGTTTTGGATAAGACTTGTACTTAATACAATAATTGGATCGCCTGTGTTTAGTCACTGGTAATCTATGTTCAAACTCAAGTGTCCGCAACAACATCCTCATACAACATCCTCATACCTCTTGAGAGGCGCAGTATTTATAATGTCAGGAATAGTCCATTATTATTTTGGGTAAGTTCCATAACAGTATATATATATATATATATATATATATATATATATATATATATATATATATATATATATATATATATATATATATATATATTCGTATTTTTTATTTTAGATGTTTTTTTTTTTTTCAACCCAACCTTCTTCGTTTCGTGGTTTGATTATTTCCGTTTTTATTCCTTGTTTTGCTTTTACCTATTCCTACTTTTTCTGGCATGGTTTGATAATCGGCGAGATATGCACGAAATATGACAATGCCATAACACCTTATTGACTTTGGCGGGTTACCAACGTTGCCGACAGACGGCGGAGTCTTTTGTTCCCCTATCGGACGCCATTGCCTCGCTTGAGGCTAAATATCTTTCCACCAGACAATCATGGCGACAACAATTTAACGTCGGTCGAAAGTAAGAGAATCGGAAATAAAATAGATGACAGCAGGAAAATGTCATGATACAATGGAATAATATTCATCGACGGACGGACTTCACGTTGATATATTTGATGAGAAACATTTGTTTACCCCGACAAACGAAGGTTTCCTTATCTTCTTTTCTCTTTCGTTCTGAATCTCTTTGCTTTTTGTGGTTACACCTCTATATTTGCATTGTTGTCAACGTCAATTACTTGAAATTTCTGTATCTTTCTTTCTTTTCTTTCTTTTCTTTTCTTTCTTTCTTTTCTTTTCTTTTCTTTCATTCTTTCTTTCTTTTCTTTCTTTTCTTTTCTTTCTTTCTTTCTTGCTTGGTTTCTTTTCTTTCTTTCTTTCTTTCTTTCTTTTTTTCTTTGTTTTCCGTTCTTCCCTCCTTCTATTCTTTATTTCTTTTTCCTTTCTTTTTTTTCGGAAGGCGTCCATTTCTTTCTTTCTCTTTCGTTATCAATCGCTTTGCCTTTCGTGGTTACATTGTTGCCATTGTCATTTACTTGAAATTTTTGTTTCTTTCTTTGTCTTTTTCTTTCTTTCTTTCTTTCTTTCTTAACTTCCTCCCTACCTTGATTTCTTTCATCCTTCCGTCCTTGCTTTCTCTCTTTCCTTCCTTTCTTTCTTTTTTTCTTTATTTACAGACACACACGCACATACACACACACACACACACACACACACATACACATATATATATATATATATATATATATATAGAGAGAGAGAGAGAGAGAGAGAAGAATAGTAGGATATATACATTTATATATATTGGAATAAGTTTATGCTAACGAATGACAAGGTGGGAAAAATGTGTAAGGCGTTTCGTCCTTTAGAATGTCTTCATCCGACTAAAGTAATGCTTTTGTTGATAGAATTATGTGTCGGAAGGGGTGTTAAGCATTCTCAGCATCGGCTATAATAATGCAACAGAAGGAATTACTGATGAGATGGCGAAGTGGAAATTTAATATTTTTAAATACACATTCCTTTTGCAGAGATTTCAACCCTATATATATATATATATATATATATATATATATATATATATATATATATCTGTGTGTGCATGTGTGATGTATTTTCTTTCCAACGCGTAAAAGCTGGGAGAACATTAAAAAAAATCGAAGAAAATAGCGTAAATTGAAATAATGGCTTTTATACAAAATGCACACATCAATCGACCAGATACAATACGAAACATACTAGAAGAAAATACAAGCATAATAACCTCATCCACTACTACTGTAGTACTTGCACCATGAAGATGATTAGGAAAGAAGATCGAAAGTACTTGTGAAATGGGAAATAAAGGTGATTTAAACTGTTATATCACATTTCTCACATCATTTAATATCAGTAGAAGGAAGGTTATTCGTGAGTATAAATTGATTTTGTTCAAAATTAGCTGACTTAATGTCTGTGATTTATTTAATCAGACATATATTAAGTCAGCTAATTTTTAATAGATATCGGCTTGGATTGTGGAATCGCATAGCCGAGTTCGAATCCAGGTTGAATCCATTACATTCACTTACGTGCTAATACCCTTGGGAAAGGTGTGAATCCTCTTCTTCTCCCTCCAGCTATGGGTTAAATAGCAGGACAGATTGGGTTCTCTAGCCTTGGGTGGCAACTGGTCTAGGAGAAGGACAACTCTGAATTCGAAACCAGGGAAGGTCGTTTGGAGACCTTGTGGCACGTAGTCCACCAGGTCTCTGTATTCGGCCTTTCAAAAAGTGTCGATGGTCCTGCACGAAACCTTCACCACTATAATCGAATCTCATGTGACAGTGTCGGGCTGTCAGTTTCCTGGAAACTGATCTGCTTGACCCTCATACGTCGAACCCGACGGGAGAATCGATTATATATATATATATATATATATATATATATATATATATATATATATATATATATATATTTATATATATATATATTTATATATGATAGTAAAAAAACAATGATATTAATAATTCAGACTTCTTATTTTCAAAAATAATAGTTCTCGATACAACCGTAGAGCACAATATTATAACTAAATTATATATATAGTCACTGATTATGCATATATATTTATATATAATATATATACATTTATAGTCACTATTATATATATATATATATATATATATATATATATATTATATTGATTATGCATATATATATATATATATATATATATATATATATATATATATTGACGTTCGCAAAAGCGTAAAACCCAGGTCACAAACTCACAACCAAATCCAACCAAATATGTTAGCTCTATCTCTGATATTGAGCGCTTTCTAATAAGTACCGAGCATATAATATATAAATAATTATATATATATATATATATATATATATATATATATATATATATATATATATATAATAATATATATATATAAATAATTATATATATATATATATATATATATATATATATACCCTGCATGCGTGTGTGTGTGTGTCCTTATTTGCCAGTATGGGTTTGTGTAAAAACAGCATTTTAGCCAGCATTTAATTCATTTGATTCATAATACTGTGTGTCCTGGTCAATATCCGAAAAAATATTTTGACCATTTGCGTAGGGTACGTTCTCGACACATGCACAATACTGTTGAAGAATTTACAATAAATCTCAGGAGACTTATAATTTGCAGGCAAAAGGAGCATTTTCGGTCGTTCCATTCTTTTGGGGAAAGACGAATAATTATTTCCATCTCTCATTGCAACATTCATGGTGCCTCTTAAGGTTTATCAATTTTTTTTGTACTAATTTTACAATATGAAATGATTTTCAAAATTCGATTGGATAATTATTGGTTTTATATTTTAATCTTCCGTCAGTTTGTTCTCCCGTTTATTCTCCTAAAAGTTCATTTCATTGTTTTTTTGTTTTTCAACAGCGATTGACCCCTAGCGAAGTATTGGCCGAAAGTTTTTTTTTTCATTATTAAGCTCCTTAAATCAATGCTACTTAAGTCTACAATGAAAATTTGAATTATCAAATCACTATATATATATATATATATATATTTATATATATATATATAAACTTAAAGAGCCAGGTAAGCCTACCTAGGTCTCAACTAAACTGGTCGTTAGGGAAATGCTGGCCCGGCATTACGCTGACAATCCGTTTAGGTGAAACCTAGGTAGATTTGCCTGGCTCTTTAGGTTTATATTATGTTTGCTCTGCTTCGTGTATTGATCAATTTACGTAGTTTTTTTTACTCATTTTGGGGGTTCATTTTTTCTTTGGACTCTGAGCTTGAAGTCTGGACGATTGTTTTTGCCTCAATTTCATGTTCTTGGTTCTTTCTTTTTTTTATACATCATTTTTCGTTGGGTACTGTTTTTTTTCGACTACAAGCCGAAATACTCAAGGTTTTTCCAAGCATGTACCACCCTTTATATATATATATATATATATATATATATATATATATATATATATAGCAACTAATTATACATATATATTTATATATATATATATATATATATATATATATAAACATTTCAAAGATTTAATTTAATTATTATACATATATATATATATATATATATATATATATATATATATATATATATATTAGTGTATATAGGCAGCACATTCTCTTTTAGGCATGTCTGATTGAATAAATTACGAACATTATGTCTACTTATTTTCAACCTACTCCTTTCATATTCACGAATATTTTCTCGTGTATTACAATTGAGTAAGGCATGAAATACGCTATAATATTGAGAATCACATGTATTTCCAAAGTAATTGACATGCTTATGATAAAAAATAAACAGACATAATGATTGTAATTTCAGACATTCCTAAATCTATATACACCCTTGTGCAAATTAACTGAAACTAAACGAATAATTCCGTTATTATTTACTTTTTTTTCGCATTTTTCCAAAAGAATCATTCCCCATTTCACGTGTTATTAGTTCGTATATCCATTCCTCGAAAACTTTTCTATCAGATTGAATCACAGATGCTCGATTGGATCTATATCAGAACTGTTTCCGTGCCAGTCTATAGTATTTTGATTTGCTCATTTGTAAGGTCTGCCAGTGTGTTCGTCCAGCGTTAAAAAAATTTCGGACACTTCTTTGGAGTAACATCCAATTCAGAGAGTGGCCGTAGGTCAACTAATCGACAGGCAAGACAATAGTGCCTGGGCTTGTTAAAACACCCCGAAATTATATTCATATTACTGCTCACTATTGCAAACGACCTAATCTCAGAAAAAATAGAAACACATTGCAACCCCTCACTCGAGTGGGTCTAAAACTGACCTATGGTTAAAGAAAGGAAATTAAATCGTTTGTTTTAATTAATTTGCACAAGGGTATATACATATATATATATATATATATATATATATATATATATATACTACTATACATACATAAATACATATATATATATATATATATATATATATATATATATATATATATATATAAAGGGAAGTGTTTATAGTAGCTCCAACGAGAGAAAAAAGCGTGTATATTAAAAAGAAGAGAGAAACCGCAAAAGTTTTTGGTTGTGATGTGGATTTTTTTAAACAAATATGTTTTATTTTCCTTAATTTTCCTACATATGTTTCCGGCCTCGCGACAGTCAAGGTATAGGGTACGAGGGTGATCTCATCTTCGCATCAAAAACGTCTGTAAGTGGGGCATAAATAGGATTGACATGAATATCGAGAGGTGGGAAAGTGTCGCCAAAGACCGCTCAAGATTGTAACGAATTATACACCGAAATTTGGGCGAAGAGAGGAAAAACGGAGGTTTGCCGCCGAGGCGAAGCGTGGGCGAAAGAAAGAAAACACAACAACATCGGGGGAGAACGTCTTTACATGGAATCACCTGCCAGAGACAGTCACCCCCGTGTGGGCCTCTTCAGCCAAGTGAATAGGGCATAACTCTTTTGGCGCGGATACATGCTCTCTTGATACAAACGAACGCCAACCCCCCAATATATATATATATATATATATATATATATATATATATATATATATATGGTTTATTTCATTTACTTTCCGTTTTTTTTTTTTCAGGTTTTTTCTCTCCTTTTCTTCTTTATATTATTACTTTTTTCTAACTCTTTGTATGTGATTCATAAACCTCGCTTAGACTAGCCGCACATCAATTCTTTAAACTTTCACATGCATTACTATTTAATCCATAGTTGGGCGATTAGATTTTGTCTTTCTAAATGAACGCAGCAGAATCAACTGGAATTTTAAATCGGCTCTTTTATTTCATTTCCGCGTCTGGGTCGTCCGAAATCTTATTTGTAAGGCTGACCGCCATAGTAGAAATCAGACACGTCTGAAGAATTCTTTCGTGATCTACTAACTTAAAAAAGTCGGCGAAATCGTCGAGAAACCCAAGAAATTATCGGATCCTGGAGAGATATACGCTCTTATAGAACCGTGGTAAAATCCCAGTCAGTCTATCGTTCTTCCGAAGGCGCAACTGGCGATACAGCTTCACAAAGAGGACATGCCGGGATTCACGCAGAGAAAGAATAAGAAAATAAAAGAAGACAACGTCTATCTCTGTAAATGAAACAAAAACAATGCAGTCTGG